GGCAGGAGGTTCTAGAGCCCTATGTGCGCCCCTTTTTAGGGGCGCTGTTGGCCCTGAGTTCATTTTTATGGACGACAATGCGTGACCACATAGGGCTCTCATGGTTGATGAGTATCTGGAAAGCGAGGATATTCAACGAATGGATTGGCCAGCCAAATCCCCTGACCTGAATCCTATTGAACATGCTTGGGATGCTCTTGGGAGAGCTATTGCGATGCGCCAACCTCCCCCCAGAACCATTCTGGAGTTAAAAATTGCTCTGGTGGAAGAATGGGAGGGTCTTCCACAAGTCCTCCTTAACTCCCTTATTAACAGCATGCATACTCGTTGTGCATGCTGTCTGTCTGTCAGGGGTGACCATACACCATACTAGAGGCAACACACACTGTACAAGCCTCACTTTTATTGTCATCTTTTATCCTTAAGTTCAGACTACATTGGATTTATTGGCAATAGGTCTTGCCAGTGAATGGCACTTTCATTTTTGTTTTGCATACTTTATTATCATGGAATAAGCTATATCCATACCAAGTTTCATTTATTTATATTCAGTATTTTTTGAGACATTTGGAAAAATGTCTTCCATCTCTTAATCTTGTCCACCAGTGTATCTTCAATTCTTCAAGGAAACGAATTTCGACATAAGTAAAGAAATATTTCGTCATTCTATTTTTTCCAGAATAAAAACCTTGTAACGCCTAATGTATATAACTCTTCTAATAATCACTTTGTTATGGGCACCATGTAGCTGACACAATACAACAAGAACAAATAAAACAGGGAAATAAATTGCACTCATGCCCGCAGAGTGATTCGAACCTCGTCTGGTACGAGATCTTGACCACCATACCGTAGATTGGTTTAACTTATCACTTTATTTTCAAATGTTAAGTCTTAATTCTAGTTTCATTATTTTAATTAACAACCACTAAGATGAGGTTTCGAGTTGAAGAAACATTTTCGTCATGTATTTGAGAGTTCACGCTTCATTACAATCACGCGATTTCGTAACAAAATGATTATCAAAATTAACGAAGCACTGATCAAGATTACAAAATCGTCAAAAATGAGTTTTATTTCTGAGAGGGAGTGAAAATACCCCCAAAAAAGCTTTTATTTCAAACCTAAAACAGATGTAAGATCAATATGTTTTGAGGGCTTAAACACGATGCTCCTCTTCAGAACGATAGCATGCAAATGATTGAAAGAGAAATAGGGTTAAAGCTACATAAAACGCAGTTGCCAACAAAAATGAAAGGAAAAAAAGAAACCACAAAAACTACAAAAGAAACTAAGACAGCTTAAAGTAAAAGTAAGGGGAGATAGTACATTTCAAACTTTCTTTCAGGAAAAAAATGAATGAAAAAAAATTTATTCGAGGCAAAAGTCTGATTAATAATGCAAAATTTATTTCTCCAATCAACTTTAATACTTCAACTAAGAAGACGGAATATGTGAAAAATAACCGGCATTTTACAACATACTAAAACGCAATCTTCATGGTTTAAAAAGTCCATCCAACATATACTAACTATTAAATACAAACAACAGATTAAATTATGAAATCAGAAACAAAAAGTACTTCTTTCTTTCGAACAAACAGAATTTTTTTCTGTATAACCACAAATACAAATAATATTTATTTTCTGACTTACATTATTTGCAGAAATTAATGAGCAAATATTGTTTTTATTAGGCAGTTCCTTTTTCGAAACTTAACTGTTTATTAATTAAACGTCTCTGAAAAACACATGATATAAATAGTTCAGAGAACGATTTATGTTAAATCTACTCATGACTACAATTTCTGCTAGAATTACAAAAGTAAAATTTATTTTTATTCATACATTGTGTTCCGTAATCACCACCCTTACTGTATATTTCATGAATCATTGTCTATAATGAAATTATAGAAGTACCACACCTAAAAAGGCACTAATTGATATTTAAACAATGATAAAACAAAAACGATAGCAAATTTTGTGGAATCAAAGGTGAGGAAAGCAGCATGGAAAACATCAAAACTATTTAATTGCCTGATTAAAATTGGATGTTTATCTAGGAATCATTTTTGAACTCCTCTCTGTTTCCTTCGGAAATCAAACAGGTTTTGAGGTTTTTAGTCCTAGTGTTCCTCGGTAGTTAATCGTAACATTTCAATTCCCCTTTACTTTTTATACTACTCTTTTATATTTATTTTCATAATTACCTTGCATGCCCTAATGTGGTGCATTTTTTTGTAAATTATAAAATTAGAGTAGACAGACAAAGCACTCTGTACTGTACAAAAATGAGTGAAACAAATTTATTACTTGGAATTGTTTAAAAAAATATTCGTATATTAAATATCGAACGAAATGTTTCCATAAAAGGTCTCCACGAATTAACTTGTATGCATACCGATAAAGAATAAAATATTAAATCATTAAAATTTACCTAAATACGTAATATTTCAATTTACAATTTATAACTTTTTATTTATAAATGAAATTCATAAATGAAGAATGTGACATGAAACTTTTAAAAATAATATGATTGCATAATTAGATGTATTTATAAAAATAGTTTTTTAACTCCTCTCTGCCTCCCCCGGCAATCAAACATGTTTTGAGGTTTACGGAACCACCTTCCTTAGTAGTAATTCATTAGGATCGCAATATCGTTTTAACTTCTTTTCTCACTAAAATACTATCTTGTGACGCTCAATATGAATACAGTTTTTACTTTCATTTTGAGAAGGATTCGGAAAGTATATAATGAGGGAGGTTATTACAAAATACCTTATTCTGTATGAGTGATATCTAAACACAACAAATTAATTACATGGAATATTTTTTAAGTTTTTATTAAAACTATTCAACGAAATGTTTCTGCAAAACTTCGCTGTGGATGTTTTTTTATACAAACTGTCAAATAACGAAACAATTTCACTGAAATACCACTAAGAAAATGATACGCAATTTTATAAGACTAAAAAAATAGTTTTAATTTAACTTAAAATTTTTTTTTAAAAAATTAAAGTATAAAATAACCACGATCCCATAAGCAACTCAGATGAAAGGACAAAATGGGTTTTTTCAGTACACGTTCGCGTGTCCTCTTTCTCCATTCATCATCCAGCAGTTGTGTGATAGTACAGGCACGAGAGAGGCGGAGTTCATAATTACACCTCTCACAAACCTCACTTTATAAAAAAAAACCCACACAACGCACTGATTACAATGAAAAAAAAGTTAATTACTGTCGATTATGCGAATATTATTTTTTTCTCTTTCAAACCATCCTCACCATAACGGTCACCCTCCTTTCCGTTACTTTTCCAATTAGGCTATGAGCAGAATGACTGACAAATAACCTGTGATTATACCCGATTCTTTAAGAACGCTTAAAAAAAAAACTGTTCCTGGAAAGGGAAAGCCAATGAATAATTTATACTAAATAATTAACGGCGTATTGGACAGGCATGATTTTTTTTATGACTTTCTCCAGTGTGCTGGTTATCTTTTCAAAAATAAATCTCTTCTCTTGCACATTGAAAAGATTAGTTAAATCAGGATTTGGGTAAGAGGAGATCTTAGAGTAATATGTATAAAAAATCATTTTGATCGAAGATTTCTTTTAAAATAAAACAATTTTCTCGGGTTAATTAATAACTACATGTAAATGCAGGATCTCCCTGTCATTTTCGTAAGCTAGGAAGGCTTATTTTTAGAAAAGACAAGAAGTTGATGTTGGGATTATATTTGGAAATCTAAACACAATAAATTAATTACGGAGAGAACTCTAAAAATACTTATTAATTTTGAAAATGCCTTTTTGTTTTGAGTGTCAGATTTTTTTTCCAACCCAGCAATGTATTTGATGTAATTTGTACTCAATATTTTGCACACTAGTGATAAATATTGTAAAATAAAATTTAAAATTATTAAAAAAGAGACATAACGAACTGCCAGATATAAAATTATACTTAACAAAAAATTAATTTTCTAAATGTGAAACATAAGTGCAAACGTTAGAGTGCTACATGATGAACTAAATGCTTGTTTGTGATTTGAAGTTCATGATTTAAAAGTAACATATATTTAATAACTACTTACGTAAAATATCTGACAAAAATAATTCCGAAGGTCTTAGGATGCTAATTTAGAATAGACTTTTACCTCTTAAAAATATTAAATAATTGAAAAAAAAATAAAGAAAAAAATAAAGGCATTAGGTTTTAAGGATACATAAAAATCACGAAATGCAAGGAAAGCTATATTTCACTTTGTGTGCACATTAAAATCACCTTTAATTGTATCAAAAAAATGAAATAAACAGAAAATAAATAAGAAAATGAAAAAAAAGTAATTGAGAAAAAAAAACATTAGGTTTTAATGACGTAACGAAATTTTAACAAATCTGTATTTCATTTTGAGTAGAGATAAAAACTTCATTTTATTTCTAACCATTTAGGAGCTTCAAATTTTGTGCATCAATAAATAAATAAATAAATAAATAAATAAATAAATAAATAAATAAATAAATAAGCCCATTTAAATTAAAATACTTATAATTTTCGTTTTACGTTTTTATCAAGACATCAGAATTGATTTGGGATAAAAATTTTGTATTGAGCATTTTAAGTTAGCATTTCTTGTTTGCATGTTAAACGTTTGGTACGTTAATTTTAAAAATTCTAATCAGTTTAAATAATTATAACATTTAAAACTAATAAAAACCTGTCTTAAAGAAGTTTTAAGATAATTGAAAAAGTAAGAGAGTGGCTTAATTTGAACCCTTTTCTGGATGGATAAAAAGCATTATCTATAAGGTTTTTTCAAATAAGAAATGGGTGAAAGAAATATTATTGAAATATATTAAAATATGAAACCATAACATAAAACAAATTGACGTCCATCAAAATTTCTTTGAGAATGGCAATATGTTAATAAAACGAGTTTCACATCTTCTAAAAATGTATAAATAATTTGGTTTATTAAGATAAAATATGCACTTACCATTGCTTTGAACTGAAACTGTAATTGACAAGAAACCTGGTTTCAGAAGAATGTGGCTTTCAGCAAAAGGAAAAGTCGTATAAAGATCAGTGGATTTAATTGTATCATTGAAATGCCATTCATATAAAAAGAATTCCTCCGAATTTGGTATTTTACCTGCAAAATACAACAGAACTTTATATGCTGAATTTAAAAATGAAAATACTAATTGATAAATGTAAGGAAATATTCTTAAATTGTTGTTTTTATACACTTGTTCCTTTAGCAATTATAACATGCGCACACAGATTGATAAAATGTAGATTAATATTTTCTTCCACAGCAGATTTTACAGCTTTAAAATTGCAGTATCCGTTGAAATGTTTCCGAAATTAAATTATGCAACATTTCTATTAATTGCAAAAATCTGAAAACGTTACATAATTTTCTAATACAAAAATTACAAAAAGATTCATATTGTTTAAAAAATAAATTAGATATTTGTAAAACTGAAGGAAAATTTACCTAATTGTAATAATGTGCGTACTGACTCAATGAAATGAGGATCACAACCCTAAAAAATCACAATAAAATGTGCAGATATTTTGTTATGCAAAATTTTGCTAATCTCAACAAGCAGGAAAGTTACAAGCTTTCTGGCTCATCACCAATACTAATATGTATTTGTTTAAAAAAATATGTAGTAGGGAAGAGTGGGGTCAATTGTAACGGGGTACGATTGTAACAGAGCAAGAAGTTCGAGTGTCGGGGTCTAGATTTGGTTCCTAGGTGGCGCACAAGGTGTATTTAATAAATCTACATGTACAACCCTGCTGGCAACCATTTTTATGTACTTTTGAAAGAGTTACATTACAAAAGATATTTTCACGCTACGTAAGTACTTTTTTTGGTATTAGAATATTATATTGTAACAAAGTAATTTTGTTTAAACAAATAAAAATTAGTAACCGAATATGTAAGTGGACACTTTAATTAACATTTCAATAAAAAAAGAGATTAGTTTTGCTAATTAACTAGCATTGTTTTTAACAAATGAAGCTGAAATGGCGTCTTGGGGACAATTGTAACAATAAGTAAAGGGACGATTGTAACAGCTGAAAATAAATAATCTTATGTTTACAAACCATTACTTAACTCTTTAAGAACCACCAATAGTTTCCTATATCATTTATATTATGTTGCATGTGCATTATTTTATTTGTCACCTTTCACAGCATAAATTAAAATTTTTAACCCCTTAAAGTTAAAAGTTTAACCCTTTAGGTCTCTGCTCATTATTATTTTTACTCCTAAAATATCACTACTATTTTGATCAATAAAAAAATGTATCACAACTATGATAATATGTATAATTAACCATGTTTCAGTTGAATTTATGAACTGTTACAATTGGGGACAATTGTAACAAGTACACAACTGTCAAAAATTGTTAATAACTAATATAAAATAAGGTAATACATTTAAAATAAGGTATTTATTTTTTTTTCTAATAGAGGATAGTCTACTTTACTCGTCTGTCAATTAATACTAATAATATATTGGATTTTTCGTTAGTTAAAAATAGTTACGTAAAAAATGTTACAATTGGCCCCACTCTCCCCTACTTTGATTAATTGGTAGGTAAATATGCGAGATAATAAAAACGTGAGGGCTGACTCAATTGAATAACGATAATGAGTTTTAAAATCATAAAATTTTTCGGAGATTGTAATAGCTGCTATCATGACAAATCGCAACAGGGAGAAAAATTTCCATGTTTTTTTTTCTGCTTAAAATCGAAGTAGAATTTTTTGAACTATATAAATTTCAAAACATAATTCATAATGTTGAAAAAAATTTTCATTTGTTAAATTGATTAAAAAGATATACGTGGTAATAAAGCGGTGCATACTGATTCCAATGAATGCTTATTTCGGTCAAAAACGGACATTTTCAATTTAAATATTTTTATTCTTATTTTCAATATGTGCCGAATTCACGAGTTGCTGCAGAGAGGGGGAAGTTCTTTTCTCCTATAGTACATAGTTTTGATAATTCGTACAGTAAGCTCAAAAATAAACAGACCACCCTGAATAGCTTTTGATCTAACGATCGGATCTTCACGTTCTGGGACTTCATGGTATCCTCAAATATGCTAATTAATTAGTGCAGTTGATATTTTAAGCTACGAAATCAGACTAGAACTGTACTTTCTCTGTATGAACATGCCTTTTTTTTATGGATTTGGATTTCTGACCTAAAAGATATAGGGGGTAGCCGCTATCTGGGAAATTAGTTCCCATTAATTTGGCCAGGAAAGTAATTCAAAGCTTAATCCACTGAATGTTAATTTTACATTTTGTGTATTTCGCCTTATTTCAGGAACTTTTTAAGCGAATTAAAAATTTTTGCAGACAATTATAAATTTTTTTTATCTAAAGATAATTCCAAGAAAAAAATAGTTTTTATTAAGTAGTTATTATTTTTTATTAATTTATCACAAAAAATTTTAAATTCAAAACATAATTTTAAAGAACGCAACTTTGCGTGGCAAAATACAAAGTTTGAGCAAAAATGGTGAAATTGTTCTGAGAAATCGAATTTAAAAAAAACATTTTTTTTCAAAGGGGTTCAATCTTTGGATCGCTCTCCCGTGCAAAGTTCTGGGACCCTATTTTCCCAGATTGCTGCTACTCTCTATATTTTGGGGATCAAAATCCCAATCCATCGAAAAAATGGTATGCTTATTCAGATATAGAACGTTTCTGTGTCAATTTTGTAACTTAAAATATCGTCTACACATGATTAATTAGCATATTTGAGCTCACCACCCCCGAACTATTAAGATTGAGTCCTAGAAGGTGAAGATCCGATCACTTTTTTTTGTTGCTCATTGTATGTCTAGTTATGGTGAAATTACTTAAAATCATGAACATATTGTACATAAAATGATAAATTGTAACGTTTCGAACAAACTGCTAACTTCTGTAAGGGTTACTATGTTGCTCAACCATTACTTCCATTGTCTCAAAGTAAAATGTATCTTTTACACAAAATGAACACTTTTCATTCTGAAAAGATACGGTTACATGGACACAGTATAATGAAATTAAGGTTAATTGCTACGACAGAGAACCAAGTCATGGGTAGGTAAAAATCGCCATCTGGCGGAATCAGGTGTAATTGGTTGCTTCTAATTACTGTGTAGCAGGATGTAAAGTCTACATTCACCGACGGTAACCGCTCCATTTACTACGACTTCCACTTTGAGAAGAGCGTCACCCATTTTAAGAAAAGGCAATTTCCAGAAATTAGGCACAGAGTGATAGCTAGAAGATTTGTAGAAGGATAATTTATGATGAATAGAGATTTGAAAAGACTCTATATTACTGAGATGCATTTGCTTTATGATTTGGAAATTTTCTGCTCAGAAAGATGTTTTAAAGTATTATAAAGAAGTAACTGAAATATTATCAGGAAAAGAGAGTAGCTTTTACAAAGTTAAATTTGTCAAGTATATGTTTTAAATAATGTTTCTAAAATTAAACAAATAATGTTAACTGTTATTAAAATGCAATCTTTTCATTGCAGACAAATAAATGGTATTAAAGGGTGATATAATGATGATAATTGTAATAATATTAATGATGGAAAAGGCCAATAGCTTATAAAATTTCTCTTTAAAAGTTTTGTCTTTTTTCTGTTAAAATTGCGAAGTATTAAACGAAAATACTAATAGTAAAGGATTATGAATATAGCTTGTTGATTTTTTAGAATGTTAACTTTGCTCAGGATACGTTCTTAGTAACATTTCCAAGATTATTAAAATAGTATAATGCTAATTCTTATTAAAGCGCTTTTATTCAATTGTAATTGCGAATTTTTACTTTAAAACTGAAAAAAATATATAAAAAATAATACAAAATTATTTATGTTTGAATATCAGATTCCTTAAATATGGCTAACAGATTATTTTATCATCATATCACTCATTTAGAGAATCTTATATCAGATTCTTTAAATACAATAGACCTTGCACATGCAGTGTATAACAACATGCAGTGTGCGAAAAAAACTTGCTTCTTGAACTAACTTTTGATGTTTTGATCAGATTTTCATGTATAAGGACTATATCTTAGTGCAGATGATATTTTAATTTACGAAATCAGACAGAAAAGGAGAATAAATATGCTCTTTTTTTATTTGGTGGTGTATTTGCCCCTCAAAATATAAGGTGTAATCGCAATTTCGGAAATATGTTCCCAACAGTTTGGTCAGGAGAGGGGTCAAAAGTTTGGACCCTTATTGTTAATTCATTTTCTTGCGTATTTCGCCATATATCGAGGATTCCAACTAGATTTAGAAATTCGCATCTTATTAAGGTTGTATTGAATTGAACTATGAAACATATTCCAAAATTTCAAACAAAATCTAAAACATTTTCGCTATGTAGCAAAGATAAAAAGAATCGAAGCATATTTAATCACCGTGTGCAATAGGATATATTAAATATACCAGTGTAAGGTCAATAAAAACCCATTTTATATTTTACATATGAACATTCTATTTATTGCAATAATATATTCAAAGTCCAAATAATTTCTATTCTATGAACATGATAAATCGCGATATTTAGTGAAAAATACATCGTTACCAGGCTACGTATCCCAACCCTTTTCCTACTTCAAAGTCAATTTTCTAGAAATGCAACATTTCTCTCAGCACAGAAATGTTAAAACCTTGCATCGACATTAAAAGAAGTATCTCTCGAAAAGTCGCTATGTCGATTTATGTCGAGAATGGAAGCGATATAGCGTACAGAAGCTAAACAAACACAAAACAAATTTCGCAAGAATCTTCTTATATACCTTCGAGTGACTAAACGCCGTAGGAAAAAGAGGTAAAGACGAAATTTCTCTGGAAAATACTAGGCCATCAAAATTGCAACCGAATGAAAGACCTGTAGGCGTCTCATGTACTTTTGAAATCGATCTTTATAAGTAACGATGCAATTTAAGATGAAAAATTGAGAAAGAAGCAAAAAGCGACGAGGACAGTATCTCTTGAAATTCTGGAGGAACTTTTTCTCTTTAACTACGGCTGTGCTGGGGGCCAATTTCTTGTTTCTTGAAAAGGGATTTTTTCATCTCATAACTAGCACTGAGAATGTTGGGTAGAGATAACTTTAAAGACTTATTAGATAAATGTAGACTTGCTTTTGCTTTAATGATTGAATAAAAATCTTTGCTTAATACCATTTGATTTTCCGAGATGGGTTGGCGGGCTTGGTATTAAAGAAATTGTTAAACGGAGTCTAACTTTGATTTTGTGCTGGAATAACAATTTCGCTTAGTATCAGTTGATTTAATGAGATTGTTTGACATCAGCAGCTTAAAAAAACTTATAGGATAAACGCAGACCAACACTTAATTTAATAGTTTAACGAAAATTTCGTTTAATGCTATTTTATTTTATGAGATTGTTTGACAGAAGTAGGGGAAAAATGAGTGCTACACCTCAATTTTAAGGTTGATGACATCTCTTACTATACTGCTATGGGGTGAGTACTTCACCCCACTTCGGATAGATGGCCTCTCAGCTATAGGATGAGAGCTACGAGCCAAATCCTCAGTATAGATAAGAGTTCAACTCCACTAATTAGTTGTTAGTAGAGATGACGTATCATGGCTCTTTAAGAAGCTTGATTTGAACTAAACAAATGCTCCTTAAAAAGTTCCAAATTTATTTCTTCCCAACTATGGATATATTTGAAAAATTTGAACCTAACGTTTTAATCTGAAACAAGTTTTAAATGAATTTTTCACTGGAAAGAAGTTACAAAAAATTCGCGAAGTGTCCTCCTTTATTTTTATATCCATGCTCTTTTAACGTAGCGTTGTCTCGACTGAAAATTGTCTTTTAAAAGTTTTGAGTTTATATTTTTTACACTTATATGGGTATTTTTGCAAAATTGATGATAATTTTTTAATCTTAATCAATTTTTAAGTAAGTACCTCATTGCAAAAAATTATTAAGAATTGAATTTAACATGAAAATATTGTAAAAAGAGCAAAACAGACATGGACAGTATCATTTGAAATTCTGGTCATATTTTTCTCTTTTTCCCTTTAATTAGAAATATATGCAGCACGGTAAAAAAAATTATATCAAATTACAGTTTAGTACCGGCACTTTGAGAGCATCATCCGTAATATCCATTTCACGTAAGATATATTTTCTACCATAAAATACTTTCTTAAACTTTTTCAATAATATTTATTTAATTAGAGTATGTCACTGATTTCACGGTAATTATTACTGGAAAAACTACGATTTATCAGATTTTTGGTTCCTTAACATGTTCCGGTAAAAATGGATTTTAAAGTGAAATGTATCGCCACTCTGAGTACCGGTATTTTTAACCGTAATTTGATCCGGAACTTTTAACAATATAGAGCCTATATATTATTTCGTAAAAAAGGATTTTCCTTCTCAAAACGAGAAACTGAGAATGTAAAGAAGTAAATTATAGACGATTTTAAATATTTTTAAATATTTTTTGAAAATTGGAATTTCATCAATTTTTAAATCAAACAATTGGGGCATTATTTATTTCTGAATAATAAAAAATAAGGGCATTATTAATTTCAAATATAATTTAATTTATAAATAAATTTCATAAACCAATTATTTCATTTATAAATAAAAATGTTATATTAATAAATTGAAAGTTATTTATACGAATTTTTTTTTTATTCCCAAAAAATATTCCATTTCCTTAACTAAAACCTTTCAATAACATCTTACAAGTAAAAGTTAATAAATCAAAAGATCTATTCTGGGAACAACATGTGACTGAAAGTATGAAGCTGAAAAAACAAAACCTAAACCTCCCATCCATTCTAAGAAAAAAAAAAGAAATTAAGGGTAATAGAAATTCTTACCCTCCTTTGAAAGTAATAAAGAAGAAATTCGGGGAGGTTGGTCTTTTTTGAAAAAGTCGGTGGTCTGAGAAAAAGATGTTAAAATGCATATAGGTGAGTAAATAACCCCCCACCGTCTTGGCTTTAAGAAAGCCGTATGTTAGAATTAGGCGCTTTTCTTGGCGAACTTTACAGCAATTTCTCTTCATAAACGTGTCAGTGCGAATAAAACTTGTGCCACTCTTGGGGCTGGCTGATTTTGGACGGAGAAAAAAATTACAAAAATATGTGTTATATGATTTTTTTTTATCCAGCTTTAGAGCAGAGGAGAGTAGAAAAATATTTCATCACATTTTTAGTCATTGCTTTTTGTTTCGTAGAATATCTTCAAAGTATAAATCCAGCGGTTTCTTTGAAAATTCTAGAGGACCTTGAGTATAGAGTTATACATATGAGAGTAAACGAGTTAAATATGCAGTAAACAGCATTTTAGTGTTCAGAAATTTTAAATATATTTAATGTATAGTGTTATGATTTGATTTAGATATAGTAATTCATTAAGGTGTAGTTTTTATCAATAAAAGCATGTAGAAATAAATGTAGTTTTTATCAATATATTTCAGAAGAAAATTTTCAGGATTTAAAAAACTACCAGTTTTCCTTTGCTCGGAATTTTTCTTTCGCTAGGTGTTTTCAGAAGATATCGAGATATTTCCTATTTAAATTATAGACATTTCCTAGTTAAGCTATCGTCAACAGAAAACTCAACACAATTTTAGTTTAAAATATTGTTATTAGCTCACAATATAATTACTATAATCTAGAGTTGAACTTATAGGGTAATATATATTGTTAAGACTACTACGAATATTAACATGTGTAGTAACTTTATTATGATAAAATGAAAAATCAAAGAAGAAAAATAAGAAAAATCAACTTTAATATAATTTTGAAAAACTAATTGCATAGAACTATGAATAAATGAATAAATTGCAAAATTGCATAGAACTATGAATAAATTGCAAAATACGCACTTTTAAGTTTCTTAAAATTATTAGCTGTTGAATAGTCGAATGTTCTGCTATAACAACCAAAACAAC